GTGGTCAAGCTCCGAACTCTAGAGCAGACCTAGGAATGTTTGGTCCGTGCTGTAAATCAGCCGTGTCCAACCCCAGTCCTCGAGAGCTACCGTGCTGCAGCTTCTGACACGCCTGAATCAAATGAATGGCTTGTTATCAGGTGTTTGCCAAACTTGATGGCTGCTGAAGAGGTAATCCAACCATCTGATTCAGCTTGTTGGAGTAGGGATGCATCTAAAAGCTGCAGGACGGTAGCGCTCCAGGACTGGAGTTGGAGACTCCTGCTTTAAACTCTTGTTTATGTCGGTCAGACCACACTTTCAACAAACGCTGCATTTAGCCAGTCATCAAGTATGTAATTGTTGCTTTTCATGTACTGATTCTTCGTGTTGTCTTTAGGTATCATCCCACAGCTTTTTTCGCGTCTCAACCATCCGGAGGCGTACATCCGACAGAGCATATGCAGCCTGCTGTGCCGAGTGGCCCAGGACTCCCCACACCTCATCCTCTACCCCGCCATTGTAGGCTCACTCTCCCTGGGAGGGGAAGCTCAGAATGCAGGCAGGCTTACTTTTTCTTCTCTTCCTTTTTGCAGCCATGTTCTCTGCAGCTGTTTAAAGAGTTTACATTAATATCTCAAATATTTCACTTTGCTTGTTCATTTGGTATTAGTCATACGTGCAAGATATGAAAATACATAAAGTCAGACTGTATAAAAAATCCTGTTAATGCAGTAAATGTATTTTTACTCCAGATGCATTTGTTTTATTTTGGTGGTATAAATGAGATCTGGTCAGTTACAGTTATTCTGAAACAAGTCTGCTCGGTTTGAAAGTAACTTTACATGAGTCTCTGACATCAGACACTGGGCTCGTCTTTCTGACGTCACATATTATAATCCTCTCGATTGGTTAATTTTGCAAACAGGGAGCAAACTGCCGTCGGCTCTGCCTACCTTCTTGGGGAGCATACAAGGAGAGGACCTAGGTGTGGATGAAGAGGAGCAGCTGGGGAGTGATGAACAAGGCAGATCATCAGAGGAGCTGGCGACCTGTTCAAGTCAAGACCAAGCCATGATGCAGGACTGTTACAGCAAGATTGTGGAGAAGCTGTCTTTAGCCAACCCCAGCATGGTGCTGCAGGTAGAAGGCTGACCGCGGTTACACGTTGTGTATGTACAGCTAAAGTTCAGTTAAAAAATGTGATTTTCTTAAATGATTGACTTGTGTGTGCCGACCAGGTCCAGCAGCTGGTGGGTGAGCTGCGCAGAGTCACATTACTGTGGGATGAACTGTGGCTAGGTGTGTTACAACAGCAGCACATGCACGTCCTGCGCAAGATCCAGCAGCTGGAGGATGAGGTCAAGAGAGTGCAGAACAACAACACACTGCGCAGGTGAGCCTTACCTCACCCTCAGGACAGGGTCTACTCTTCTGTGTGCATCGCTGTTTGAAAAAAGATTTCAAACAGCAAATCATTGCTGAAAGGAAAATCAAAGCAAACCTCTGCTGGCCCACAGTTCCTTTAGTACCACGGAGCCAACAATGAGCAAAGGTCTCACTGTGGAAAGGGACCAGAAATAGACCCACTAATACCAGATGGCTGTGGCTCAGGAGGGGTTTTCACCAGTTGTTGGTGCCCAGTCTGTCCCCCTCAGTGTCAGTATCTACCATACACCGCAGACGTGCTTCCTAACTCCTCGTGACCCAAAACAGATTCTGGACTTTCATCTGTTTTAGGAGCATCTCAGGTCTAAAACACCATCTTTCAAACCTCGGTTGATATCACACAGATGGTTCGCTCCTATCGTTCCTCAGCACCTTGAATTAAGAACGGTGATATAACACACCGGTGCACAACGAGTCCGCTCATCCCGCATTGGTTTGTAGATGTGCACTAGTCATTACTGGACCTTGCAGGTTATGGTTGCACTGGTATTGTTAGTTGTACTTTATTTACGTTTCTCTCGTATTTCCCTGAGTTATCCACCTCAAAGTAGAGCTGGGCGATAGAACGATAACGATGTGTGTTGCGAAATAACTTTTTCTCGATAGAAGTTAAACTATTGCGATAGACCTCACCGCTCTTGTCCTCTTAAAAAAAAAAAAGAAGAAGAACAGCCAATCCAAATTAAGTAGCGCAGAGCCGAACCAATCACAGCCGCAGCGTCACGTCACGTGACATGTTACGTACAGCACAAGTGCCAAGCCGCACATGTGTTTGTTTGGGAAGCAAGCCAGCCGCCGTGCCGCCCGGGTAATGGAGAAAATGAGTGTGGACCGGAGGTTACCGAAGAGAAAACAGATGATGGTTCCGATGCCGGAGAGACTGTCGAGCAGAAGAGCCACAGAAGTTCTGTAGTGTGAAGGTGTTTCTGCTGTTTCAAGTCTGACAGAAACAGAGCAGCCACTGTAAATGTGCCGAAAGCAAGTCTGGAAATACAATAAAGCGGTGCATGCTCAGTCTCTGACTGGAAGCACTAATTCATCATTCGGCTTCTGTCGACTAAAGTAACTTAAAACTGTTTGAAAAGCTCAGCTATACAACAAGGAGAGAATTTCCTTTTAGTTCTCAGTTTATTTGATATTGACAGAAGTTAGTCAATTTTGTTCTTCTGTAAAACAAACTAAGATTTATTTTTAGAAATAATATTTTGTTTCTAAGTGGAATTGACAGTTTAGTAGTTTTGTTTGTTCTAGTTTGAAACTTAAAGCTTTAGCGGCTCCTTTTGTGTAGTTTGCAATATTTGCCTTTATTTATCTGAAAAAGTCTCCTTAAGTACATCTACCCTGTTGAACTTATTATGGGAAATAAATATTTAAATCAAAACAAGCTGCTGATTATTTCACATTTTACTTGTGAGCAACGGCACATTTAAATCTTACAAATATAGTTATTTGGCTGATATCGTGATATATATCGTGATATATATCGTTATCGCCTGAAATGAAAAAAAAAAATATCGTGATATGAAGAAATCTCATATCGCCCAGCTCTACTTCAAAGGTAAGAACATCTGGACTCCATTGACAGTCTGTGTCCTGTAGTTGCTCCAATGCTCCCGGTCTCATCTGTTGTGGATCCTGTAGAACCTTAATCATTTGGTGGTTTAAAAGTTCAGCGATGACATGATGAAAACCAGTCTGTGGAAAAGCTGTTACTCAGCTGTAAAAGGCTGATTTGGGGTACTGTCGTCACCCCGCTGGGCGAGCAGCGTGGGAGATCTCAGCAGGCTGAGGGCTGGTGCTGGCAGTCACCAGTCAGTTGCTGATCTGTATTTTTCTGTGTTCAATAAAAAGTAAAGTTCTTACTGGGCTTGTCTGATCTCCTGATACGATTTGTTGATCTGCAGGGATGAAAAGATCGCCATAATGCGTGAAAAGCACTCCGCTCTGATGCGTCCCGTGGTTTTTGCCCTGGATCACGTGTGCAGCATCACAGCAGCTCCGGCGGAGACGCCGCATGAATCCTGGTTTCAGCAGACCTACGGTGATGCCATCACGTCTGCCCTGGAGCGTCTCAGGAACCCCGTAAACCCAGCTAATCCTGCCAGTAGCTGGCTTCCCTTCAAACAGGTAGGATGTGCTTTGTGTTAGTGATGACCATGGTTTTATTTTCTAATTATTCAAGTTCTGTAAACTGCAGGGAGAGCAGAAACTGATGAACAGTGTGTGACAACAGGTTCACTGAGTAGGCGACAACAAGACCCTTAAAAATGCAGTGGTGGTGGTTGCTTACCTTATCCACTGACTTTAGCTCGGTTTTGTGTTGTTAGTGTCACTGCTGACGTGTCGTCCACCTGCTGCACGTTTGGGACAGCATGTCATCGTAAGGAGGCTCTGCTTTGTCTCCCAGCCAAGTCTCAGGACAGTGGAAGAGTTGC